CGGTCCTACGGCGCTGGTTATCAACTCGGTAAATCAAGCCAGGGTTTCTCTCTCCAGCTGAGAACGCGTTCACGTGAAAGGGGCGGGGTTAGCTACATTTGACCAATCACAAACAGGGACAAGTGTACTGACAGCGCAACATCATACTTCATTAATGAAAAGTAAACTAATATTAGACAAATATGAACTTTAAACATCCATGATGACTTAAACATATAATCCAGGATACAAGCCACATAGTTGCACCTGCAAGGAGAATACAGAACAACTCGTTAAAAAATAAACTACCGAGTGTTTGAAACAGTTTTATGATACTGCCCCATCTAAAACACGAGGGGATCTGACTTTATTACATTTGAGTTGAGTGTTTCATCAACTTAATGTGTTGCTTAAAATAATACAGTAGGCTATGTGACAATGTAACTAAGTGTTGCACGGCCAGATACGGCTCGAGAAGCTGACTCAGATAAGGAAATATTGTGATATCGATGTGAGATCGATGATCTGATTGATGATGTGATGTCAGTGTGATATGAATGATAAGTGCGACACGTCGGCGTCTTCTCTGCATACGGCAGTTTAAACTGCATTTCCTTTTTCCTGTAATATGACTTGATAGATTTAAACTCCGCACACTGAGCTCTGATCGGTCAGCAGGTGGTGCTTTCACTGAGTTGATCGCTTTTCTATAGACGCCGGAGGCGGGCAGCGTAAGATGAAAAAAAAAGTTATTTAGCCTTCCCAAACCTGAGCCTCACGCGCCGCCTATGACCATCGGCTGCAGTTCTTTCATCGCTATTTCGTTTTAATAAATCCTTAGACCTTTTGAGACAATTTCTGATGTCCATTGTGTAATTCAAACATAAATGGGAGTCTACAGAATGCACAATAAACAAATCCAGAATAGGCGGCTGAGTGTGACGCTGTGATTGGTCTAAATGTGGACGAATCACAAATCACAACAGACACATGAATTTATTTGACGTAGCCTGCGATTTTTTTTGTTTTAGTTACTATCTGACATCACATACATCGTAGCATAAAAGTTCACAGTTTATTTATAACAAAAAAAATTAAAAAATATATTTTTTAATTTTTATAAATAATAAAAACGTGTTTATTGGGGGAGGGCAAGAATGTCAAATGGGAGGGCCTGGCCCTCCCTGGCCCTCCCACGGCGCCGGGCATGTATCAGGTGTCATTAAAATGAATATACCAAAAATACGCTGTATCAAACTTTCTGCATAATACTTTACATCAATTTCCACAATACCTTGGCCACAGGTTTAACATCGCTGGTGAGTGGGGGGAGCAGGTCGAGGAGCTCACTACAGAGTTTCTCCATCGTCTCCACCTGATTGACTTGTCCCCCCTCCCCGTCCTCATGAAGTTCCAGGCTGTGAGAGAGGTGGCTTTGGCTAAAATTCAACATCTCTTTGCCAATGTACACATCCCTCTCAAGGCACTGAGAGAAATGACAAACAAAACTGTCCAGCTGGTCAGAAAGTGGGTGGGCCTCAACACACACTCCACACGGGGCATCATCTTTCTCCCATGTGGAGAGGGGGGGCTGGGAGTCCCCAATGTCGAGTGGACCTATAGCCACCAGGCTAGCCCACCTGATCCACATGCTTAACAATGATGATGTCACCGTAAGAGAAATGGCCAGGGCCTCTCTCCTGCTGGATCTACACAGAAGGAAGATCCTCCTGGCCAGCGCAGACCAGAACAACTTCCTCGGCTTCAGGAGGAAAGACTCTGGGAAACTGCTGAGAGTCCAGTTTCCCAGAGTCTTTCGGGGTCTGACTGGGGTCTGACTGGCCAGATCTCAATGACCTCTGCAATCGGACTGGAGTCCAGCTGAAATGGACAAGACTCAACACACAGACTGAAGTCCCCGTCTCTGATGAACTGATCACTGACCCCAGTGTGGTTGTGAAGGCCGACATCACAACACCTCAGGAAGAGACTGTGGAACTGCACAGAGACTCTGCAAGGAGGGTTCTGCTCAGCATGAAGCAGTCTGAGATCAGGCAGCACTGGTGTGGACTCAGACTACAGGGAAAGCCTGTTTGGGGTTTGCTGACTACTCAGTCTCACACTCAGTGTTTAAGAACGCCGCTGTTGGTGAGGATGTTCTGACATTTACCATCAAAGCAAGACTGCAGGTATTACCCACTGAGTACAATCTGTCCACCTGGTACCCTCGCATCCACACTCCATTCTGTTTAAACCATCAGGATTCACAACAACACCTAGAATCCATTGCACACATAACACATGGATGTAATGCATACAAACGCCTGTACATAGCCCGCCATGACCGTATTGTGGACATTGTGTCTGATGCGGTACGAAACATCTTACCATCTAGCGCAGCAATGTACAAGCACACTAGAGTGCTACCAGAATGGTTTGGCTTTACCAATGATGTCTTTGCTAACATCCCAAATACACCTGATGTGGTTTTTGTTGACACCAACCACAGGGAGGTGCTAATATTAGAAGTAGGCTGTGCCTTTGACCTGTACATGGACCAGGCTTTCCAGGACAAGTATATTAAATACCAACCACTGCTCGATGTGATAACCAGCTTTGGGTACAAGTGTAGATATGGCATACTTATATTCGGAAGTCTTTCGCCATGTATATAAATGCACCATGATTGGTCTGAGAATTGCTGGAATGTCAAAGAGAAAAGCCAAACAAATATAATATTGCTCTGTTTCAGCTATTATTGGCAGCTTAGCCGTGTGGAGAAGGAGGTGCTATGTGTTCCCCTAAGTGTTCTGTGCTGCTTGGCCCCGATATATTTGATTCCCTGTCTTATGTAATATAATTTGTGGAACCAAATAAAGTATTCAAATGTGTGTGTGTGTGTGTGTGTGTGTGTGTGTGTGTGTGTGTGTGTGTGTTGTGTGTGTGTGTGTGTGTGTGTGTGTGTGGTGTGTGGTGGTGTGTGTGTGTGTGTGTGTGTGTGTGTGTGTGTGTGTGTGTGTAATTTTGCGTTTGTGTGTATTGTGTTTGTTTCCCGGAGAAAACCCTCACGAGAAACACCGGCTGTTGTTATGCCTGCTGTGACGTCAAGTTACTCGTTACTCGTAACTTGTAATTATGCCGAAGCTTCAAAGCTGTATTTATCATCTGAATTTGCAGAAACAAGTTTAATATTCTGAAAGCCAAGACTTTGTTTAATTGAAATCAGATGAAAACAAACTGTAACGGACCCTGCCGTGTTATCTATGATTACTAAACTCTTACATTCATAATGTCAGCCGGAGGGAGGGGAGCTGCGCTGAGGAACAGCAGAGTGGCGAGGGAGAGGTGCCTGTCATCTTCCCTTTACAAGCTTCAAACATGTATTTATCGTGTGATTTTGGAAATAAAGGTTTCATATTCTGAAAGCCAAGACTTTGTTTATTTAACATCAAACAAAACACCCGATCAACTATTTTTTTTACGCAAATCCACGTTTATTTTGAAATGAGCCGTTGCGACTTCCGACTAATTTCGATAGAGCGGGTCACATTTACTATTATGAAATGGTGTTAGTTTGTGAAGATTATCCTGCTAAACAAAACGTGTAAATGTCATAAACGTTTGTTTACCTAAGAACTCATTTTCTGCAATATTGCCATCACATTTTGTCCAGGCAGCCCTTGCAACACTATCTTCGGCCTACAGAATGACATCATCAATGCACCACTTTATTACTAGTAGGCAGGGGTCCCGAGTCTTTTAATGCACAGTTTAAAATAAATATTTGTACAGTTGCAGCTATCCTATCAGTCACTCTGTAAATGAAAAACGCAGTCATGTTGATTCAGTCCTCCAGTCATCGAAGGATTATGTAATTAACAGTTCTCAGTTATATTTGCTAAAAGCACTTAAGCCTGAAACCCATCCTGAGCATTATCTCACAATTGTGTATAGTTTTAAAAGTCCACTGGCTCTTTGAATAGTTGGCTCATGAGCGTTGTTACCCACTCAGAGAGGATGGAAGGCTTCGATGAGGTGTCAAAGCTGCAAATGTCACAATTTAGTTGCAGCAATTATTTATCTTGTTTTTAAATTTTTACTTTTGAAGTTTAAGCCATGATAGGAACATAAACAAGCATAATACATAAGTGATGCCCTGACATGGGCTGAACAGAAACATTCAGGAGAGTAAAATCATTATTTGTGGGTGATTTACATCTGCCATCCTTTGCTTCCCCCCTCCTCTCTGAGTAAAGGTGCATCACAGAGATAGGAATAATGTGCAGCAGAGCATCAGGGATGACCCCCCCCCCCCCCCCGGACACTCATCCACTGCAGTCCTGCATTTGATTTGTGTTTGTCAGCGTGACCTTGAATCTGCTAGTTCCTCCTACTGCGTTAATTGTGTCCGGTTGAAATGGAACTTTTTAGTTCTTCAGTGTTCAATTTCAAGAAGAGTCATCTTTGTCATATTTTGTTGATGCACATTGTTAGTGAATATAAACTGCTGCTTGGTGCATTGATTAGTTAAAAACAACCGAAAGTGCAGTTTGGGTGTAGTGCTTGGTGGTTATTAAACTGGTACTTGACATTTGCAAGGCATGCAATGCAGACTGGAGGCTTAGGAGCTGAATATGTGTCGCTCTCATGAACTGACAAATCACTACCATCCTTGTTAAACTGCACTGAAAACCTGAAACGTAGACTTTAATTAAATGTACTATTTAAACAGATTTCACATAACTGTATTAGGTTAGTTGAAATAAATGATATAAAACATGAACTTAATATTATTGCTTTTAACTAACTGAATACAGTTATGTGAAATGTGATGACATAATACATTTAATTGTAAAGGTTTCAGTTTTTTCAGTGTACCATCAGAGAGTGTATGAGTATTTAACAGGAACCCTGCAAACATTGAAAGCACAATCATTGTTTTCTTTTGGATGACCTGGCAGCGGTGTGCAGTGACCAATAGGGGAGGGTCTCATGTGTAAACCCCGCCTCTCTCCCCACAGAGGCAGCTGAGGAAGAGAAAGTGCTACCTCCTGGTGGCCGGAGCCATCGCCCTCACCATCCTCATCATCATCATAGCTGTTTCAGTAAGGAAATGAGAGCGGCCACTGTGGTAAGAACTCCCACAATGCAACACTACAACAATTTCCATATTTATATTGCAGGTTGGACAAATATGGTAGTACAGAGCTAATGTGGGCCTTTTTATAAAGTTGGTATATCAGCCAACTGATGTGAGGACACTTTGGCTCCTCATTTACTGTCAATTAGATTATACTTGTCACTGAGACAATAGTGAAAAATGTCCTAGATCTCAATGTGATGTCTGTGAAACTGATGATATTTAGCATTTTCATTTATAATGAACATTACAATAAGCTGTTTCTTTTGTTGTGATTGTGAATGATTTGATGCAGTTGATGCCGAGAAATACATTATGGATATGAGTTTGATATTTATGACATGATTACTGAACAAACATATTTTAAGATTAAAATGGTTTACAGTTGCTTTTTTCTAATTTCAATTATTTGAGGTGCTTGTTGAAAGCTAGACTTCAGAAGATTTGCTTAAGGGTTAGAATCTGTTAGTGGATTAGACACGGTGTTTTAGGCCAGATAGATTCTGGTTTTTTACAGTAAGTCGCTTTGGATAAAAGCATCAGCTAAATGTAATGTAATGTAAATCAATTGCTCTTAAACTAAAACCAATGCAAAACAGATATACTGTGAAAGAGCTGAAAACAATTTATTTTATGAACTAGTGCATGTCTCTTTCAAAATATGAAACACGTTAAAAGTCAATAAGATCCCAAAAAAGTTTTTCTCCTCACCAAATGACTGTTTACTGCAATATTTGGTGTATCTGTTCTTTTGGCACTTCCACCTTGGCCGTGGCTTGATTGAAAATGTTTTTGCATGAGTTGTTTAAGAATATAGAGGTGTGTACAAAATGTGTGAACACACTCATGTATTTATATATTTGAAAGTACATTACTTGTTAGCAAACCTTTTAAGCATTTTTTATGACAGACATATGTATTCAAACTTTAGTTTTGATTCAAAACTCTACTCTACTCTAACCTCCCATGGCCATAGTGAGGGTCCTCCTAAACATTATTTCATTTAACAATTTAGCTAACCCTCTGAAAGAAAATATTGCTTTATATAATTCAAGAGAGTTTCCAAATGAAGGAAATGTCACTGTGTGCAGTATGGTTTGTGCTATGTTCTTTAGTACACTTGTGATCAGGGGGAGTATTGGGAGCAACATCAGAATCAGAATACCTTTATTAGTCACAGAGGGGACATTTGCATCGTTACAGCAGCAAAGAGCCACAGACAGCTTAATGTTACATATAATAAAAAAATACTTTTCAAAATACAAATCCTGTAACGGTTCTTAGAATTTAGCAGCCAGGTATATATTACACAGTTGTTAATGGCATATGTATATCATAATGTATATATTGCACATATAGCACATATTGCACATAGTTTGATGGTATTTAACAGCAGCAAGTTACACAATTAACAAAATACAAAATGCAAAAAACACACCCTGTAACGGTTCTAAGGATTTAGCAGCCAGGTATAAATTACACAGTTATTAACGGCATATATATATATTGCACATATTGCACATATTGCACATAGTTGATTGGTATTTAGCAGCAAGGGGTGATATAGTCTACATTTGCTTGATTAACCGGTACTTCAGCTATATTCTTTAGCTATATTTAATTTAGTCATTTGGGTGGCTAACTGGAAAGTTTAAATGTATAGTGATATTACAGATGGTACAGCAATGTTTCCAATAATCATTAATTGCCTCTTATTTACGTATATTATACGATGCAGGTGGTGAAAACTAAAGCTGCGGTTTGAAATGTGTTTTGCTTCTCAGCCAAAGACGCATGTTTTATTTCTCGCTCTGAATAAGACCCAGTCAGAGGCTGTCAGAGGACACTATAGGACTAACTTTCATCCCATTAATAATCGCAGGAGGAGCTATTTTGACTTTCTGTTTTCTCTTTCTTGACACTAAATACAAGAGGTTTCTTTTTGCATAAAGTATTGATTGTCATCTATTTTCCTCTGTGGGGAGGTAAATGGAAATCCTTTGGAACAAGGCATTCTATTCGTAAACCAGCAGGCTGAATCGATGCTCCCATGGCGAGGGGCCATGTTGAGGCTCAGTGTTTGAAGCTCCACTCTCAAGTGGCTAGACAGCAGCAGCAGTTAACACAGCAGACAGTCTCAGGCCAGAGAGGAGAAACATTGTGAAGTCTACTGTTGACACATGCTCACAGAACGCTCTATTGATCTTCACCTGCACTGTCACAAAGCAGAGCCACAGCCCATGTGCTGTTTTTTATCCAAAATACTATGCATTTGAGCTCTTTTGTCTATTTTCTAGAGCTTGGATTTGTTTGTGTATATTTCCAATTTATTGAATTCATAGCTCACCATAAATACATTGGTTTTAAATGAGCACTGACTTAATAATAATAATAATAATACATGCAGTATAGCGCTTTTTCTAATGGGGGGGGAGTAGGTGCGTTTTGAGATAGTTTTGAAGGATTCAAGAGTGTTTGTCCTTTCAGATGTGACTGGGGAAGGAGTTCCAGAGGGGGGAGGGGGGGAGCTGCAGCGAGATTAAAACTTAGAAGAAAAAACGTAGCAGAGTAACAATCATGTAAAATACAAAAATAACATATAGTTAGAAAATAAAACCGATGCATATTTATAGCACATAGGAAGGATTTCCAATCAGTCTGCAAAAGAGCCCATGCTTGATTTCCATAAATCTCAATGAGGTTCCTGCTTATGGAAACAACAGGTGTCAAACAAAAACGCGCTGTCGGATATAAAGGTATTGTGTACTGTGTTGTTGGTTACATTTCGAGAAATGTGTATCTTGTTTACAATGTACTGTAGTACCAAGTTGTATTAAATATGCCAACGTCTGTGAGGTAGGATGACTTACCACCGTGTGTGTGTGTGTGTGTGTGTGTGTGTGTGTGTGTGTGTGTGTGTGTGTGTGTGTGTGTGTGTGTGTGTGTGTGTTAATCTTCCAGGCATTGTGTATGCTTTCAAATATTGATGTTGCTGAGTCACTTCATGTAGGCATTTTCTACTCTTCCCTGCCCCTTTGTATCATTTATTGTGTCTCTTTAAATGTGCATCGATTAATTGTTTCCTCCACCAAGGAGTTTTCGGCTAGGTTTTTTTATGTATTTCTCAGTCTGGGTCAGCAGGATAACAGCAAATGATAAGACCAATTCTCATGAAACCAACTGGAAGAGAGTAGCTTGGGCCAAGGGAGAACCCATTACATTTTGGAGCCAAACAGAATCACAGGGCAGATAACAAACTATTTTTCCCTTTTGTTAACATTGCAAGATAGAGACATAGAGTCCATAAGAGTGAGTAGTTTTCACTTTGCTGCAGGTGGGAGGTCTTTGGATTTAGCTATTCAAATCAAGAAACACTGAATGAAGTGATAACATTGAAAAAACGATTATTACCAGGGCTGCACATAACTGGTGCGCAGGTGCGCATGCGCACCTCCGCCAAAAAAAGAGCACCGGGTCATTTGAAAAAAGGCGCATTTGCGTACCAACATTAAGAGAGAGAGAGGAGAGAGGGAGAGAGAGAAGAGAGAAGAGAAAAGAGAGGAGAGAGATAGAAAAAGAAAAGTACGGAGCCCCCTAGGGGACATGGAGAAGAAGAAAAAAAATAAAAATAAAAGGTTTTGCGAGATATCGCAAAACCTTTGCGAGATCTCGCAATACTTTTGCGAGATCTCGCAAAACCCCGTTGCAGTTTGTAGACGGTCCCTAAGCACTCCTCTCCCTCCTCCAGCTGCGGATTGTGACAAATTATTGATGTTTAGCTCGGATGACGGCGCTTATCGAACTGTTCTGATAAAAACGACTCTGTAGCTCGTTGTCTACCTTGCTATGATTGTAAAGTCATGTTGTTTGTATTTTTACAACGTTATGTTCATGAGTTATTGATCTGCGAAATTCGAATCTGTCAATAACTCAGCTCAGAGGAACGTGCATGTCCCCTCGCTCTGAGTGTTTTCTTGAGGTGTCTTCACTTATGTGAAACCCTTTATATATACAGTCTATGTGTGAAACCCGTGCCTATTGCCAAGCACTGATGTTATATCTTTATATTTAAGGCCAAGCTCAAAGTAAAATCGATGAACCACTCCATTGTTGTGGTTTCTGTTTTGCCGTAGCAGCCGAACTGACCAGGAAGTACTAAATGAAAAGTATTGCGAGATCTCGCAAAGGGGTTTTGCGAGATCTCGCAAAAGTATTGCGAGATCTCGCAAAGGTTTTGCGATATCTCGCAAACTTTTTTTTTTTTTTCTGTTCAAATTTTTTTCTTTTTTTCTTCTCCATGTCCCCTAGGGGGCTCCGTAGAAAAGAGAGGAGAGAGAAGAGAGACGAGAAAAGAGAGAAGAGAGGAGAGAGAGAAAGATATTTGCGAGTTGCATATGAACTCAGGGCCGGCCCGTCGCACTGGCGTTATAGATATTCGCCTAGGGCGCCAGATCTGTGGAGGCGCTGCGCTGGCAGCTCTGGGAGGGAAAAAAAATTTTTTGACCATTGGGGCTCATCCTAATTTTCGGCCTTGATGTAACAACATTCATAATTAAGTAAATGTAACACCCTTTTCATCCCGGTTACACGTTTCATTTGCCCTGTACGATGGGCGCTGTAAGTGATGAAAATGGGGGATGTTGGCTTATCTGGCGCCCGCAGCTCACAGCCAAAATGCGAGTGAGCGAGGGAGGGTGCACCGGTTCTGGCGCAGTTGTTATTAGAATCTGGTGCTAGCTGCGGATATAAGAAGAAGATGTTTCTACAATGATGTGGAGGGAGAGTCCTCTCCAGTCAGACTGAGAGGCTCAGTGAGGTAAAGGACTCTTGAGTGTTTAGATAGTTCACTTTAGTCTAAGTTATCTCAGTAGGTCTCAAACGTTTTGATCACAATTTATGTAAGCACATATTTCCAAGGCACTCTTTTATAATTATTGAGATAAACAGGTTTGAAATCATTCCAATGTATACTATAGGACAGCAAACCAGAC